TCTTTTTAAAAAAATGTTTATAATAGTTTTAATTGGGGACTTGTTTAGTGCATAAATATTGACCAATATAAATATTTTGTTATTTAATTTCCATATTAAAATAACGTAACGTCGCTATTGTTCCAATTCTGGGTATTTATTACATATTTTTACCAAACATGAAGGCAACGCATCTCTTGTTTTCTAACGCAGCCCTTATAATTATTGAAAAATTGTTTGTGTTTATGTTAATTTCATCTGAAGGGCACAAATTTGTGCCTGATTTTTCTTCAGGAAATCCAGTAGCAATTATCTCTTGAATGGTGAATTGATCCTACAGGCATTCAAGCATATCAACCTTATTTAAGTCGCTCCACTAACACTCAGACCTCTCTCTTTCTCTCTAGAAACATTGTGCGTGTGTTTTCTAAAGAAAAAAAAAAGGAACTAATAACAAAACCGTTTTTTCCCCAAAATATTAGAATAAACTTAAAACACAAACTTTGTCTGGCATAGAAATCATGCCATAAAAAAAACACAAGTTAAAATAACATGTGTGAAAAATCACTAGCGCACAAGAGCTTTAGGACATTGAGCAAACAAATAGATTACTCTCTTTCCTTGTTGTTTCCACCTCCTTGTTTTCTCTATTTCTCTGTCCTTTTCCCTTGGAAAGGAAGGGAAAAAAGACAGAGAAATAGAGAAATAGAGAAAACAAAAACATCCTATCCTAAAATTATATTTTGACGCGAATAAGTCTGCTAATCATTTTTCTTCTATTTACTCTGTGAGAATAATTAATACTATATATATTTTTTTTTAAAATTAATAATTGTTAATATATATATTTTTTTAATTAATAATTGTTTATTTATATATATATATTGGTTTGGTTTTTTAAAAATAGATATTATGACACTGTACCCCCTTATTAATTTAAGCTAAGAGTTAACTCACTAATTTTTACTCTTTTAGACCCTTGTTTATTAGTTCCTTTATATTTCACACAATTACTTCACAAGATTTACGAAAATAATTTCATTGTGACAAATAATGATAATAAACATGCAAGATAATCCGTGAATAAGCAATAACAATATAAGGTAGAATATGTCAGAATTATAATTACAATAACCACAATAAGATGACTTCTAAGTCACTGTGTTTTAGAGCATTGGTTCTCAACCCCAAGGGTGACCTTACACACGCTGCAGTCCCTGACCAGGCGCTTGAATTTTGGCATGTAGGGAGGGTGTTCAATAGATTTTTGGCAAAATCCACCTGTGTTATACGGTCGCCGGATCATTTCATCAGGGTGTCGGGTCCCATGAAGGAGGACTTTGGGATTTGGGAGTGTTTCTTGCAAGATTTTAATGGCCGGGTCTTCTTTTGGGATAAGGCAGTCTTGTCGTCCAAATTGGAACAGTTCACGGATGAGTCAGGTAGTGTTGACTTTGGCGCCTACTTCGCGGGCCAGTGGGGTAATGAAAAGTGGCCCTCATCTTGGGCTGCTAGCACGTGCATTCGGAAATTGATATTTTTAGAAGTGTTTCCATTACTGGTGGCCTTGCCAGTATTGGAGGCCCATATTAAGGGACAAGAAAGTTGTCTTCTTCACCGATAACATGTCGGTAGTGATCAGCTTCTTCAGTCCCAGTGGTTCGGCTGCTACGTTGATTTGTCCTACTTTGTATGCAATTTAATATTGTTTTTTGTGTACGTCACATACCTGGCTTCTTGAACGTAATCGCTGATTCGCTTTCTCGTTTCCAGTGGGTAAAATTCCACGCGGAAGCTCCAGAAGCACAGGCGGAAGGTTTATCTTGCCCGAGCGAACTGTCGAATCTCGGGACTTCGTGCTTGGAGGGCTAATCAGAGTCTCATTGGCACCAAGTACATGGACATCGTACAGTAAAGTATGGGATTCTTGGGATGCAGCTGTATTGAGGAAAGTCACTCGGCGGAGGTACATTTAGATATGTAATGGTTTCTGTGTTGGTTGTTCGCGTCTGGTGCCTCCACGGCGGTGGTGGATCAGAATTTAGCTGCATTGGTGTTCCTCTTTAAAATTAATGGCTGGGAGAATTGGACAAAACACTTTCTGGTCCGTCAAGCTCTAACAGGTTACAAAAATTTTTAAAAAGCTCCCGACTAGGAGACCGGTGGTTGAGGCACTACAGGGGCTTTGCTTTTCTCACTACAAAGTTTTGTTGTTTTCCGTGGCATTTGTTTGGGCATTTTTTGGAGTCTTTTGTATCAGTAAACTGGTGAGTAACAGCCGGTATCGGACAGGGGGGGCATTCTGATTTCAGACGTGGAGGTATGGGGGGATAAGGTTTGTATTAATCTCCGCCAATAGAAAACGGATGTGTTCAGTAAGGGATGCTTGGTTAAATTGTTTTATTTGCCCGGCTCAAGAGCATGTCCAGTGAATTGTGCTTCCTGGTATATGGCAGCTCGCTCGATGGCCAGTGGCTCACATTTCATCCACAAGGATGGGTCGTCTCTGTCCAAATATCAGTTTTCTCGCGTCTTTCACTTAAGCTTTGGACATCTGTCACAGTTGGGACACATTCTTTTCAGATTGGAGCAGCAACGGAAGTGGCACAGCTGTGTTTCACTGATGAGCTAGTTAAAAAGATTGGGCGATGGGAATCAGTGAGGTTCAGGTCTTCTGTTCGACCTGATTGGTTATTGTAAGGCAGTAAAAGAAGAAAAAAAAAAGAGGGGGGAAGTGCTTGTGTTTGTGCTGTTTCACTTCTGTTTTAGGTTGAGTTGTTTGGATAATAGGACATTAGTTTGTCTCAGAGGCGTAGCGTGGGGGGTAGAGGGGGGGCCGGCCGCAACATCTTGGGGGGCGCGCTCGCACTCGCAGCTCTCTGCCCCTGCCTGGCTCACTCACTCTCTCTGCAGTGCTGGCTGTGCGAATCCGATCCGAGCTGCCGGGTCGCCGCCCACTGTGGAGGGGGGGAGGGTGCCAGGCGTGCGGTGCGGTGGGTGCGAAGAGAGAGCGAGGGACTATCTGGGGGAGGGACAGTGCAGCGGCCGCCCAGCGCAGCGCTGAGCGCGGGAGAGAACCACACCAGACCAGCCCAGGCAGCAGCAAGAAGAAGCTGGCAGCGGCGGCAGGTGACACAGCCAGGCCAGAGAGGGAGCCAGTGGTGACAGACGCTGCAGGAGGAAAACCTAGGAGGACCTGGAGGAGAAAACCTAGACTGCTGACTGCTGTGATCGGGTCCGGGACAGCCGGTGAAAAAAAAGATAGGAGTCAGGACTGACTGGAGTAGTACTGGGCTCAGTGGGCTGGCTGTGTAGTGCTAGCAGAGGCAGAGCATCTCCCAAACTGAAGTTTCTTTGGGATGTTCCCGGTCTGCAGGTCAAGACTGGCATGTTGAGCTGACCAGATGGATTGAAGTTTGGTTGGTTCAACAGTGACGAGACAGATTTCGATCCATATGTAGCTGCTCCAGCTCAACATAAGTTGATGTAAGCCAGTGGGTCTAGGCGCAACCTTTAATTTTTTTATTTTTTTTTGCTGAAAGAGTAAGGCAATAGGCATGAAGGTGAATAAACATTATGTTAAGAGTAAAGAAATGGTTATACAATGAAGGGGTGCTAAAAGTGCAGCAAGGCAAGAAAGTGATTTTCTTTTTTTAGAATTTTAGCAGAATACTACTATGTCATGCCATACAAAAAAGAATCTGGTGCACAAGGCAGGAAAAGGAGAAAGATAGAGACAGAGCAACAAGCTAAGTTAGCTGGAAGCCTTCACCGGTTTTTGATGAGTACTGCTGAAATTACAGCAGGACCATCATCAGCAGCACCACAGGAGACTCGTAATCCTGATCCTGTGTCGGTAGACATTCCTGTTCCTGCATTAGAAGCAGAGACAGTTTCATCTAAGGATGTTTATACTCAGCCAAATCTGCCAGAAAATATTGACCAAAAAGTTTATACTGATATTGGCTATTGGCCTGAAACCATGGATGAAACCTTGAAAACTGAACTTGTCAGGCAAGGGACAGAGGAACTGCAGAATAAGGATGCATGGTTTCCAAGAGACAGTAATGGCAGGTCATTTTCCAAGGATTGGTTCTACATACATTTGGACAATGGTGAGACTATGTTAAGGACATGGTTGGTGCTTTCTCCTGTAAACAATGCTGCATATTGCTTTCCTTACATGCTTTTTCAGAAGGCTAAAGGGAAAAGTTCATTTGGAAAGTCAAGTGGATTTAATGCATGGAGAAAGTTAAGCCCTAGATTACTAGAGCATGAGCACAGTTCATATCACTTGAGTGCATTTACAATATGGAAAGAATTAGAAATGCGGCTGCATAAACAGGAGATTATTGATGCTGCTGCCCAGCTTGCACAACAGAGGTCATTTGAAAAATGGAAGGCAATCTTAGTCAGAATACTTGATTGTATTCTGTATCTAGCCAGGCAAACCTTACCCTTACGTGGTCACTCTGAAGATTTAAATACAGATGGTAACTGTGGAAATTCCTTAGAAACTCTTAAGTTACTCAAATATGACCCAGTTGCCAAACAACATCTTCACAGAGTACAACGCACAGATGGTTACATTGTGTCCTATCTCTCTCCACAGAGCCAGAATGAGTTTATTAGCCTGCTCGGCGATCACATTCGAACAGTCATCTTTCAAAATATCATAAAGGCCAAGTATTTTGCTATAATGTTTGATAGCACTCCTGATATTTCACACACTGACCAAATGTCCCAAGTGTTCGATATGTGCATATTGAAGATTCAGGAGTCCATGTGACAGAGTCTTTCATTGACTTTATTCAGTTATATGGGAAATCAGCTGATGTCATTACAAAACAAATTTGTGACAAGTTGCAAGCTGATGGCCTTAAACTAGAGCATTGCTACGGCCAGGGATACGACAATGCTGCGACTATGGCTGGACACATTAGTGGTGTACAAAAACGTATTTTGGATATGAATCCCAAAGCAATGTTTGTGCCATGTAACAATCACTCAATCTTGCTGGGATGCATGCAGTTGGTGTTGGGACAAAGTCTGTTACTTTCTTTGGCACTGTGGAAAAGGTGTATTCATTTTTCTCAAGCTCCACCCACAGGTGGGATATCCTTAAGAAACATGTACCAATTCGTGTAAAGCGATCATGTAACACAAGATGGAGTTCAACGCATGAAGCTGTATGCGTACTTGCTGAACACACTGAGAAAATAATAGACGCTTTGGAAGCGTTGAGAGATGGGCCGGAAGAAACCTCTGAAACCAGGGGTGATGCAGGAAGTCTTTTAGTTTGCATAATGACATATGTTTTTTTCTCTTTCTTGCATTTTTGGAACCCAGTACTAACCGAAGTAAATGATACTCAGATCTACCTGCAGCAAGAAGGACTTGTGCTTGATCAATGCGTGCAAAAGTTAAAAGCATTGACTTTATTTTGTCATGAAAAACGTGATAGTCTAGTGTCAAAGGCAACTGAGAAAGCTTTGCAGGTACGCAAAACCTATTGCATACCTACAGAGAGAAGAGTTGGAAGACGCAAGAAGATGGATGGTGAGAACAGTTGCGATGCTGGCTTGACCTTAATACAGGAAACAAGCAGAGAACAACTGGAAGCAATTGATCAGCTTCAGGCAGAAATTAAAAAACGTACTACGCAGATGAATACGCTGCACCAGCGATTTGCTTTTTTGCAAATTCAAACATTGTTGGATACTAAAAAAGATGATTTTATTAAGAAACAAATTCAGCACACGTGTGCTCAGTACACGGAATTGAATGCTGCATCTATGCTCACCGAAATAACTCGACTTCGGCACCACATTATCTTGTATAAGGAGGTCAATCTTGATGAGCAGGTTGCAAACTGGTCAGCTTTAGATTTCCTAGCTGGGTATATAAGTGGAAGCTGCAAGAAAGTTTAACTAACTTTGTTGTCACATTAAGAATCTTTCTTACTATCACTGTTTCTACAGCGAGTTGTGAAAGAAGTTTCTCAAAACTTAAACTAATTAAAACATATCAGAGATCTACAATGAGCTAAGAAAGACTGAGTAATCTAGCAATACTGTCCATTGAGAGAGACTTTAATGTAGATTTCAATGTTGAAAAATTTGCGCTAATTAAAATATAATATAAAGATATTTTTTGTCGTTTACGATGGTTGTGAGACGACATATAATAGCATGGCCCATGCTAGGTTACTACATTTGTATATTTGTATTCATAGACCTGCTGAAAATGTGGAGAATGTGTGTAATGCATATTCGCACTCAATAAAGTGTTGGAAAATAAACTTGTATTTAGATGCATTTTACTTTAATTACATAAGTATTTTCATAACAAACAATACATGTGCTTGGGGGGTAAGGGTTTCTTTAACTAATCTAGTGGAAGAGACTCGAGTGCTAAAATCCACGGGTTAGGGGGCGCAAATTACTTGCCTTGCCCCGGATGCTGACAACCCACGCTACGCCACTGGTTTGTCTACTGAGCGGGACAGAGAGCCGCAGTTCGACCAAAAGGCAGACAGCTGGGTTTTTTGCAGGATGTACTTGAGTTACATTGGTTTGTTTACCGTGGTTTTGGTTGACATCTGCAACAAATTATTTAGAAGAATGGGGCAGGGCATTGTTCCAGATTTTATTTTAATCCATGCCGGGGGTAACAACGTGGGTCTTGTACCCCAAAGGGAGTTGATCCGGACGATGAAGAGGGATGTGATAGGTTGAGAAGTATGATCCCAGGTGTAATTATGGTGTGGTCATAAATGGTACCACATATACATTGGCATTTTGCTAAAATCCCTGCGGTTAAAAGTCGCAGTAAAGTCAATCAGTCAATGGCGGTCTGTATTAGAAGCCCAGCTTCCCGGCTATTTCCGATATGATTGAGTGCATCTTTCTGAGATGGGCACGGACTTCCTGAACTTGGGTTTTCAGGAAGGACTAAGACAGGCTCTTTGTAGGCAGGTGGGGGGCGCTCAGATAGCTTGAGGGGTCAAACTCTGTGCTGTGGTTGGGGATGGATAGGATAATTGGGGTATGTTGGCTTAGTAAGGTGGGAAAGTTAAGGAGCAATAGTTACGTTTGCATTTGTTTGGTAGGTTCGAGCTCATCGATAGCTCCGAGCTTGGGTGTGTAGCAGTATCTCGGTATACCTCTACAAGTGGTTGACGATGCTCTTGGTGGCTGTGGTAACTTGTGTGTTGTATGATAAATGTTGTGTTAAGATTGCTGTCATTTATGGGGGGGGGGGGGTCATTGTGTAGATGTTTTACATTGGGAACTATTGAGCTTCATTGTCTTTAAGTGTGCTTGACTCTGACCCCCCTTCTTTTTACAATGTGTGAACATGTTATACTAATAAAAGCTTAAACTTAAAACTTTTTTCAATAAAATTCAGGTACCTCCTTCTCCCTCTGTAACTCAGAGAGATGCAGATATTTAGCTTAGTGACACTAAACTTAGAAACAAAAGTATGTTCAATCCCCCTTCAGTTGACCATGCCGTTGAAGTTTTCTCAAGTCTGGTGAAAAAAAGATCTTAATGTAATTTCATCCAATTCTACATGTAAGCACCACCCGAGTCTTTTCAATTTCTCTAAAAAGAGAAAATTATTACTGATAAACTTAGTAAGAATAAGGAAATTACTATTAAGCCTGCAGACAAGGGTGGTGCCAAAGTAATACAAGATACGGTTGCTTATGTGAATGAAATTCTCTGACAATTAGGGGATACTGAGATGTATAAATGCCTACCAGGTGATTCCACATTGGTTTTACAGTCAAAAATTGAGACATTATTGAAACAAGCTTTGGATAATATTATTATAGATTAGGAGTTATTTAAGTTTTTATTAGAAACCACACCTGTTGTACCAGCTCTGCATACTCTCCCCAAGATTCATAAATCATTGATTAGACCTCCAGGTAGGCCCATTGTGGCAGGGATTGGCTCCCTCCTTTCTCCTTTGGCCAAATTTTTGGACAATATTTTTAGACCCTTCTTGACAAACATCAAAATCATATGTGAGAGACACCACTGAGGTGTTATTAAAACTTGAGGAAGTAGTATCAAAGGGACTCCTTGATCCTTGTCACCTTCAATGTGACAAGTTTGTATACATCCATTGAACATGATGCAGGTCTTGCGGCAGCCAGATCAGCATTGGTGACATTAGGATTTAAGAACCATGTCTTTGACTTTTCAATGGATCTTTTAGAGATTGTGATGGATAATCATTGTCTTTTCCAAGACCAATTTTCCCTTCAATTGAAGGGTACTTCCATGGGCTCCAATGTGGCACCCAACCCACATACACCAGTATATTTATGTCAGAATTAGAGGATAAATTTATCTATCCTCATTTTATTTCAACAATCTGCCACCAAATGGTGGCGCTATATTGATGATGTACTGGTGTTGTGGGATGGCACATTGGAGTCCCTTGAAGAATGTTATGCCTTTTTGAATGTGTGCTCTCAGAGCATTAAATTTACGATGACGTATGATTTAGTTGAGTTGCCATTTTTGGACATCTTGATTAGAAAACGTGAGGGGAGATTGGTTACTGATCTTTATAGGAAAACAATGGATAGAAATATGCTGCTTCATTTTTCTAGTGCACATCCACCAGTTATTTTTAAGGCTCTTCCTAAAAGTCAGTATACACGGGTTCGTAGACTTGTATCCAATTCAGATGTAGTCGAGAGGCGTCTCAGTGAAATGACCTGCACATTTTCTAGAAGCTAGACATGGTATCTCTTAGTTAAGATTCCAGATTTTGGAACAGATTATGGAATGACCAAGGAGATGGGACAGGAATAGGAGATTGTTATTATGTGAGGCTTATTGGATACGAGAACTTGATACATTACATCACAAAGGTTTAAATTACGAATATGATTTATCTGTGCTTATTTAAGTAATGGTTGCTCTATTCTCCTGTGTTTATATTTATTTTTAGTGAAATCTCTTTTAACTTTATATTTTCTTTATATTTTACAGGACTCCTGGTAGATATCTGGTGCTTTTTTTTTAGACATCCTAACCTCTTCTGTAACATCGCATGATACTTTGGATCTTTATGGGACCTCTGATTTGGACACACTATATGTCTTCCTTGATTGGCACTATAAGTAATTATAAAAATTAAAATATATTTTATATCATGATAATTATATTACACTTTATAGATATTTCACGATACTTATTATAGTGAGTTTTATTATTATGTAGGATTTAACACTTTGTTACTTTTTTAGGGATATATTTTTAAGATATAGATGCACTTTGCATATTTATATTTATCTTATATTCTTATTGTTTGCACTCACACTTTGTTATATTTTGCACAAGTTACGCATTTACTGCATGTGCGCATTGACACTTCTTTTTGTCCCATTTTCACAATGTTTAACTCTATAGTATATAGACATTTCTTATAGTTAGATTTATATATTCTTCATATGTCCTATTCTTATTGTCCATTACCTCATATTTCGATTATTGATATGAATTTTATGCCTGCTTACTTCACTTTTTGAAAACTGTGCTCTGATGGAGAATTTCTATTCACTTGAATTTTTTTCAATTAATTATTTTTTTATTTGTATTTTTAGATTTATTATGGCATGTGCTTTCTTTGTGCTTTGAAGGGAGATCGACATTTCTTCTGTTTTCCTTTTATCTATCTATATATATATTACTATTTTTATTTTTTTGTACCTCTGTGACGGTTGTGTGCGAGTGGCTTTTCTGGAAGCTCAGATTAGAGATCTCGAGAAGCAAATCGCAATTTTGAGGGAGATTGACAATCTTGAGAGGAGTCTGCTGCTCACTGAGCAGAGTTTAGTGGGGACAGGTAGTGGAGAGGGATGAGATAAGACAGATGGGGAACAGGCATGTAGCTGGGTGATAGTGGGGCGAGGAAGCAGGGGGGGGGGGAGAAGAGGAAAGGGCTAGCTAGTCCTGATTTGGTGCAACCTAGCAGATTTTGCCCGTTTGAGTGAAGATGTTGGGAGCATCAGCTCAGGAGTAGCTGTATTAGAGGAAGCTGTTACTTCTAACAGCCAAGGTAACAGCCCCCCTAGTACGGGTGGGGATCAAAATGTAAGGAAGGCAAGACAGGTTGTGGTGGTAGGGGACTATCATTAGGAGAGCAGATAGGGCAATCTGCTGCTCTGATTGGCTCAACCGGACAGTTTGCTGTCTCCCAGGTGCTCCGGTCCTGCATGTTGCTGACAGAGTGGAGGGATTATTGGGAGGGGCTGGGGATGACGCAGCGCTCATGGTCCATGTTGGTACCAATGGCAAAGTAAGAGGAAGATGGAAGGTCCTAAAGAATGATTTCAGGGAATTAGGTGGCAAACTTAAGAAAAGGACCTCCAAGGTGGTATTCTCTGAGATATTACCTGTGTCACGCACTACAGTGGAAAGGCAGCTGGAGATTAGGGAGGTCAATGCGTGGCTTAAATCTTGGGGCAAGAAGGAGGGTTTGGGGTTTTTAGAGCACTGGGCCGACTTTGCGATTGGGTACAACCTTTATAGTAGTGATGGATTGGACCTAAACGGGAGAGGGTCTGCAGTGCTGAGGGGTAGGATGGCTAGAAGGTTGGAGGAGATATTAAACTAGAAGTAGGGGAGGAGGGTCATAGCAATCTACAAAATGGAGATAGGACAGAAAGGAGATATGCTCTGGCACAGTATAAGGGGGGTGGAGATGGGGGAGGGGCAAGCTCAGAACAGAGAAACTATGTAATGTTGATAATTCACAAAAAGTACAAGTGACTCATAATATTAAATGTATGCTTACTAATGCAAGGAGCCTAAATAACAAAATGGAACTAGAGGCAATAGCATACACTATACAATATAATAGGCATAACTGAAACATGGTGGGATGAGACACATGACTGGGCAGC